GGGAATGACTATCTTTCCAATTGTACCATTTCACCAGTTCTATTCATGTAAATACTGCTGTGCCTTATTGTTCCCAGTTGGAGGTGACACTTCTATCCTGCAGCCTAATTCAGCGATATATGCCTTTGTAACATTGAAGCTTTATTTGATCACTTAGTTATTTCTCTTTATAAGCAAGACCTAAGTCCCTGTGCCTGGTTGTGGGGTGCTCCGATGTGATTTGCTCCTTTTTTCATATCATACATCTATTTTCTTTATTTCTCCTCTTCTTTTCTTTTTTTTTTTTTCATGTTACTCTTTAGTAACACATCTAATCTCTGGCACTTTTATTACCTATTTGTATTGCAAGTGCCGTAAAACTCAAATGTAATAACGAAACTAAACCAAAGTCCCCTGTATTCAGTTTATGATGCAATCATTGTGATGTAAACTGTCTGCTTGTAATATGGAATACAAGTAGCTGTATTTTTGTGCTTTCACTTGCATTTTCATAATGTCTGAGACACCACATGAATTCCAGACACAAAGGAAAAGCCTTTAGTGTGACCCTATGTTAAGTGTTTGTTGGTGTAAAATATGCTTTAACGTTTTATAATGTGATTATTTGATATCGAATTTTTTATGATTTCATTTTTAATTTGTTCTGGGCATTTCTCAGGATGATGGTTTCGTTGTTCCTTTTTCGCTCAAGAGTCAGATGCCTAGTGCATTGTGTTTCTGTAAAATGAAAATGTGGGATAAATCTCCGTCTGTCTCACTGCAGTGTGTGTTTGTGCTGGTCTGAAGAGGACCATAATATTTTTCTGAAGAACAAAGTGATGTATGGTGTTTACTTTGACGGTTTGAGTTGTGTGCGTTAAAGAACAAATGTGGACATGTTGGTTGATTTCATTTTTCAGAATAAATTCCAAATGAGTGTAACAATGAAGTGTTTGTTTGTTTGTTTGTTTGTTTGTTTGTTTGTTTGTTTGTTTGTTTGAGTTAGTCCTGTAAGGACAAAAGCGTAGAGTATAGTGTGAGCCGACTCAGCTATCATGTAGTGGGATCCTGTTCGCCCATGTTATGGCCCTATATATGAATGCAAATGGTAGGATTAAAGATTTCTATTATAGTACTCATACATAGTTGGTTTATTTTTTCCTCATTTTTTTTATAGTAGGTTTATTTTTGCCTCATTTTGTTTCTTTAAAACAACAACCAGGGTACTTTTTAAAAAATGCAATGGCTTTTTCCTGTTTTGGGTATCAAACTGTCCTCAAGCTGACCCCCATCCCATCTTTCCAATGTCTATTGTGTAATGTTTGAATGTTAACCTTGTAGGCCTATTCAAACGATATGAGTTAGACCACTATGAATAAACTATTTTCTCATGAATAATCTCAACTTTTTTGTGGGGATGTGTCCCTCCTAGCCCTTTAAATTATGAGAGGCAAAGTGTGAAACAGCCTGTAGGTTTGTCAGTATAAAACTTGCTCAATTTTGTACTTCTTCCCTAGAGCCAGTTCTGTGGGTGGCAATTGTATTACGGTAGTATAACTATAAGATAGGAAGGAAGTTATAGAGATAGGGTGGGTGGAGGGGATACCAGTGCTTAGATGGTTCACTAGGCTTGTATCCACTCAATCATACTTTTTTTTGGCAGAGTCATTCTATTTGTAGCAATTGTATAAGATATGAAGAAAGTTACAGAGAAGGGGCGGGGGGG